TTGGGCGTGGCTGGCTGATGACAGTCAGAAATAGCCGTTCCCGTTTCCCTTGTCTTTACCGGCAATGCCTCAACTAGTAGCCGTTGTGCGGCTGTCGATGGCGTTCGAGGAGCCTCAAAGCAGAACGGGAACGGAGGACGTTCATCAATGAGTGTGAATATTCAGGTATAAGCCGGCAAGATAACGAGTCTGTGGCTCAATGTGTAGAGCATCAGACTTCTGACCAAAAGGTCGTGGACTGAATGAAATCATACATGTCCTTTTACTAACGCTCTTCATTAAGCATACGCATATTCAACTTCTATAACAAAAGTTTATGAGCACTACATCATATCATTTGTCGGAGTCGGGGGGCATGATTATTGAACGAAACAGGGCAGCAAAACCGCTGTCTTACTACACAACCAGAATAGCCTATGAAACAGCTGCATAATTCAGCTTTCGACTGCTACGGCCCGCGCCTGGTACTTCTAATTAACACGAACGGTTCCCAAGAGCCTGTAAGAGAGACAGAGAGAAGACCAGTCGGCCAGAGAGAGAGAGTGTGTCTGTGTACTCAGAAAAAGCATTTTAGAGCACGTCACAGCAAGTCAAAGCAAGTCGTTCAAACAATTCGGTCGGGTGCAATTTGGGGGGAACGCGAGAGGGATAACCGAAACAATGGGCCAATCGGCTATGGGAAAAAATCGATAGTCACGGCGCGCTCTCGTGACAACGGCGTAAGTTCGACTCGCGGCTTTTCTGAAGATGAGTAATCGTGAGAATGCGCGCATTCGCGACATGACAAAAAAGGGGCTTAATGCACTGAATCGAGCAAGCAACTACGTTCAAGACATTCCCTGTGGTCAGAAAGCCTACTTACTGGATGTTACTATCTGAGAAAACTTTCTCAGTGAAGATCGAGTATGTGGCCTCGCCTAGGCAATTCTCCTTCAAGTGTTATCATTAGGGTTAGCGTTTGGCTTAGGGATAGGATTAAGATTAGGGTTCGGGGTTAGGACTAAGGGTAAGCATCAGGTCGAGGGTTAGCAGTTAGATTATCAACGTTTTTAACTTCCATTATATCACGAGAGTCGGATCTAACGACATCTTCTGATACTTTCTACTTCATTGTGATTGGTGAACACGCGCTGGGATCATTTGGCCTGGGATATGTCACCAATACCCGCGGCTTTCATTTTCGCCTACGTTTACATCCGCTAAGTTCCAGTATTTCAAGTTGCGTTCTAGCATTTTTACACTTTATTGAGGTATTTAACAAAAGGTACTGGCCTGGATGCATTTTTTAAAGTTTTGCTTCCGAAAAAAAGATGCTTATCGGGTTCATTTGCCCCCTGTAGCGAACAGCCAATCATTTTGTCCGACTTCCTTGTTGAATGTCCACTGCCTCAAGGTCATACAAACTCGCAGAGAGCCCTTTCTGACTCGCTGACCTGAATACCCTTGACCGACTTCCCCTCGCACACACACGCGCGCCGAAATAGTCATGGCTGACAGAGGGCCATTCAAACACACCACCCCTCGGCCGATGCAGCGGGGGCCACTAACCACGACACCCCCCAGGGCAATACAACACACCAATCGCACACCACGTGAACTTGCCTCACAATCATATAAAAGGGGCTGCCAACATACACACAGACACACACATTCTCGGGCCTGACTGAACGCAGGTAACACTAGCCCTGGTTTTGCCAGTGGCCACAACTGCCTGAGACAGCAACTCAAGGTTCTGCG